GCGTTGGCATTTTTTAAGGCTGTTTTGCTCTTTGGGTGGGAACCTTTCGCTACGTCGGCACAACAAAGTAGCGGTGCACATCTCTCTCTCTCTCTCTCTCTCTCTCTCTCTCTCTCTCTCTCTCTCTCTCTCTCTCTCTCTCTCGCTCGCTCTCGCGTGGCGTACACGCGTGCGACCCGCGACCTGCCGCAACCGTGAGCGCTTTGACGACGGCAGGCTGCCCGCTCGCCCGTATCACTGCGGTGCGGTACGTCACGCACCTGTAGGAGATGTTAATATGAAAGTGGCACAAAAAGTACCTACGAAACGTAGCGACCTTTAATCAACACTAGGCCACTCTCAGGTTGACACCAGGTTGACGCCTGGTTGACGCCTAATTGACGCCTGGTTGACGCCAGGTATACACCAGGGTGACATCAGGTTGACAGCAATTTTGACACCAGGTTTACACCAATTTAAAACCACTCGAGTCCAACTTCAACCATCCGCAATGCCCACAGCAATTTCGCCGATGGGCGGGTGAGGGAAGCCTTTTACAAGCGTGGGTATGTAAATCAAGGAAGAGAGAGAGAGAGAAGGGGGAGAGCGCGAGGGAGGGGGGAGGGAGCTCCCTGTGAGTTTGCGCTGAGAACGGTGACGGTGACGCGGAGCTGCTGCGCCGGTCGCGCCGCGCGGAGCCCAGCAGCACGTGAAGAGCCGTCACGTGCGGCCGCCGCGGCCCCCCTCCCCCCTCGACCCTCCCCCACCGCTGCTCGGCCCGGCTCGGCTCGACTCGACTCGGCGGACCCGGCGGACCCGGTCGGCCGCTCAGCTGACTGGCGCACACTGGCACTGGTGCATCGACACCAAGAGGCAGCCTTGTACACTTTGGCCTGCAAGCGACACCCCTCCGTGCATCCATGCCATGTTCTGGGACCTCGGCCCGACCACAACGCGGGGTCGACAAAAGTATCTTTCCAATCGACAAGAAAGAGTCGTGTAATCGATCAGTAAATACACACACGCGTGAACGCCGGATGTGCTCTCGCCGCGCGCACCGGGACTTCCCCGTCGTCCAGCCCGCACCACCGCCGTCAACATTTCCATACTACGTCGCGTGGGTGTTGGGCAGAATGGAATCAATCGCGAAATCTTCCGCTGCGTGGCGGAAAAGTGGCGTACAGCACCGCCAGCGTAGCGTATGCGAACGCCTCGTTACAACAATTATTATTCACATGTGCTTGAGCCACGACCCGATATGTCATCAGCCGAGCTCTGTTATCGCACGGCCTTATTGGACCTCACGAGCGTCTCTCTATGTTCCAGGCGCGGACCGGAGGCCCGGGAGCGGCGGCCTCAAGATGCGGACGCCCGGCGCGGACGCAGGATGAACCCTTGCTCCCGTTTGATGACTGGTACATAATAACCACGGTTAAAGAGGGGGTTAAGGTTCATGGCTGATAATTAATAATAATCAATGATGCTGATAGAATGACTCTTGTCCCCAGGGAGCCGTGCCAGCCTGGCTGACGTTGGGCGCTCGAGTCCTGGACGCCACGGGCACTCCAAGCGGCGGTGCCTGGACGTGCCGCTGGCCCTGCGCCAGGAAGACGTCGACGAGGAGCCCGAGTATGGCGACGCAGGGGTAGGCGACGGCGTGCTCCGAGGCGGGGTGTCGGGGGCAGCAACCTGCGGGTCGCACCATGGCGACGCAGACAGGGCTCAGGCCCGGAGAGCGTCGCCGACGACGGCCGGCGACCCCCGGTGGACCCCGTGCTGGTCAGACTCCAGGTCGAACGGCGACGAGGAGTGGTGGACTGGCGACGCGTCGGCGGCGTGTTCGGCTGTCCAGTCTACCCCGTCGTCGGCGCCCAGGACTATCCGGGCGGTAAAAAGACCCAGGATATGCAGTGCGGGCAGCGTCCCCGTCGAGGGCGACCAGCACAAGCACGGTGAACAAGGCCAGCACGGTCAGGATGGCGGCTACGGCTCGGAGTACTCGGACGGCGCCGCAGCCCCGGCCGGTGATCAGAGTGAGTCCGCTTGCTGCTCCGAGCTAGGTCCTCTCGACATTCTAAGTCTCTTAAGTACAAGCTGCTGCACGAAAGGGTGTGCATGATGTCTGACGGCGGGCGCGTTTGGTTCCAGGACGCCAGCAGGGCTGGTCGCAGCTGCCGGCCGAGCTGCTGGTGGACGTCTTCCAGCGGCTGCGCCTGCGCGACCTGGGCCGGGTGGCGCAGGTGTGCCGGTCGTGGAGGCGCGCCTCGCAGGAGCCGTGCCTCTGGAGGACGGCCGAGTTCACCCTCGGGAGCTCCCTCAGGTACAACAGCTTTCCGTCAGTTGACGATGGCCAGTCTGTTGCCAGTCGTCATCAGGTTATAGCTAGCGGTCAGTTTTGACGCGTGTCTGTCTGTTGACACTTGTCAGTCGGCCGACACTTGTCAGTCGGTTGACACTTGTCAGTCGGTTGATGCGTGTGGGGTTGACACTAGTCAGTCGGTTGATACGCACGGTTGCAGGCCGGAGCCGACGCCGCCCGCGCTCGTCAACTTCATCCTGGAGGAGCACGCGCAGCACCTGCGCTTCGTGGTGCTGCGCACGGACAGCTCGGCCGAGTCGACGCGGGGCGCGTGTCGCATCCTGGCGCGCCTCGTCAAGTGCTCGCTCAAGACGCTGGCGCTCATGTCGGGCGCGGCCCGGCCGCCGCTGCTCGACGTGGACGAGCAGCACTTCGTGTCGGCGCTCACGCTCGTGCTCGACCACTCGTCGCCCTCGCTGCGCGCCCTCGCCGTCGACCACACCCTGGTGGACGACCCCTCGCTCCAGGCGCTCGGCTCCAGCTCCGCGACCTCGCTGCAGTTGCTGCGCTGCAAGAGCTGCCCGCGGCTCTCCCCTGGAGGTACGTTCGGTGGTCCTGGTCCAGGAGGCCGTCCCGGGTAATACGGCGGTCATTCGGAGGGTCTATTTATTGGCTTGGGTCGAGCACCGCAGGCCGCCCATCTGCTGGGCACCGCAGTGTAGGCAGCCACACTGCCACGTGACGGTTGGGCGGCCTACCGCGGCGGGCGGGGCCGGGCTGGGCTGTGCGCGTTGGCTGACAAAGTGCCCCGTTGGGTTGTCGCAGGGGTGCTGGCGCTCGTGGACCATTGCCGCTGCCTCCGCGAGCTGTCCCTAAGCTACACGCTGCTCAGCGACGACCTGCTCAACGCACTGTCCTCGGAGCGGCACGTCTGCCTCGAGGTAAGTCCACCGCCAGCAAACTAATAAGCAATTTTTTCGATGATTAATTTTTTAAAAAGTCTATTTTAGCGTACATTGTTTCAAAACGTGCCGGAAATCTTGCCAGGTCCTGCGCGTGGACGTGTACTCCGACACGGACAACGCGCTGCGGCCCATCTCACCCGCGTCCTGGCGCGCCCTGGTGGCGCACTCGCCGCAGCTCAACCTCGTCATGTACCTGTTCGCCATCCAGGACGAGCACTTCGACAGCCTCTTCACCTCGTACATCCCCGTCACGCACCTCTACTTCGGCGACTACGTGCCCACGTCCGTGCTGAGTGAGTACCGTCAAAAACAGTTCCAATTTTCAAGTGAAAAAAAAAATATCAGTGAAAAAGAAGGTTAAATTTTCAAGTTGCCCCTTAATGGAGCTTGCTCTTGGGGTGTTC